TGTTAGATCTTCTTGCTTGTGCGGGAGATCTCCAGCAAATCTAGACCAGGATAGAGGGGGTGTATCAATCAGACAAGAAACTTTATAGTCATCAGTAAAGGTGTTTCCCTTTGATTGGAGGTAACGGAGGAAATCTTGGAATTCATGAATTTGTTCATTAATAGGTTTGTCATCAACCATCATGAACTTATTAAAGGAGGAGGTGAAACGCAGAATTCCGATATCATCATAGCCATATTCTGCTTCAAGAGCATTCAATAGATCCTTAGCACTTTTGAACTCATAATAAATATCGTAGAGGTTGTCCGCAAGTGCACTAAGAATCCTATGGCCACAATGATAGTTGATTTCTTCTGGTTTCATAGAGCTAGAGAAGGAGCTAGCGCCAGAACCAGAAGTAGAAGGAATAGGTTGTTCATGATCAGGAGCCAAAGGTTGAGAACCGCTAGTTGAAGACTCGGGAATGTCTATAGCAGATAAGAGACCTAATGTAGTAAGCCAGTATCGTATCTGATTAGCCAACCGTTTATAATTAACACCGGTGAAGTTTTCAGGTTTGACACTTTTGGAATGATAAGGGTTAGCCATAAGTCCAATTTGAGTTTACTAGTCTAGGTATTTGGTATCTGAAAGAATAAATGATTTGTCAATACCACTCAACTAGTAGCTTAGAGAATTATGACTTAGGATATGAACTAGATTTGTAAACTATGTCTATACTCCGTTGTACGATCATCTAGATGCATCATCCGAAAATAAAGAGATAAACATATTTACCGCAGAACGATTGAGTAAAAGTATTACAATAGTATCGTTATTTTATGTATCCGAAATAGGGAGACAAAATATATTGCCGCAGAGCGATTGAGTAAGAATATTACAAGAGTATCGCTATTGCATAAGGAGATGCACACATATATATATCATCAGTTGTAGTTACTCCCATGTTAGATTACCCATGAGTAGGACACATTCCTTGATTTATGGCATACAGGATATGACTTATGGTGATTTTTTTTGAGTTGGATGATATTCTCTTATTATTGCACCTACTTGAGAAGTAGTTCGAGATTGTGACATTGGTCCTATATAGTTTAGGCTTGGAGTATTTCTTTTGATTATTGTTTTCATTCATAGAGTTGGAATTGGTATTTAGGGATCTACAATTTGAGACATATAGTATATATATGAGGATTTTCTTATTTGGATTATTTCGCTTAACGTACTACGTCTCGTTTTGTAGGTGTCTAAATATTAACTCCATTAAATACGAAAAAAATGATATAAATAGACTATGCTTAATAGATAGAACCTCCACTTCATCTAGCAGTCCTTCCCCTGGGGACGGATGAAGGTGATCTTGCCGTAGCGTTCTAACGCTCTTGTTATTATTCTTTTTGTTTAAATTATATCTTTCAAGCAGATCAGAATTTCGGAGAGCTGCAAGATGACGGAGTTCTAGCATAGTCACCGTCGCCCAGTTTTAGCAGTTGAAACTCCACTATATAGTTATGTTCATTGTTCAGACTTTAGAGTCGTATTCATTTTGTAGAGGCTGAGTGTCTTAGTGAGATTTCATTTGACTCATTGTGTTGAGATGTATTTCAGACTCAGAGATTTTTTCATTCTATTTCAGTTGGGCTTATTTGTTGATATACTTCTTCTGTGCATATCTGATTTTGTACTACTTTTATTATTTGACTGTTTTATACATTCACCTATCTGTTGTTTCCACTAGAGAGATAGTGACTGAGATGGTGAAACATGTCGTAGCATGGTGTTTGATGCTTGGCAGGTTTGACAATCCGGGTTTCACCTTAGACTGTAGTATTGTGTGAACCCTGGGACGTTTTAGCAGTTAAAGCTCCACTATATAGTTATGTTCATTGTTCAAACTTTAGAGTTGTATTCATTTTGTAGAGGCTAAGTGTCTTAGTGAGGTTTCATTTGACTCATTGTATTGAGATGTATTTCAGACTCAGAGATATTTTCATTCTATTTCAGTTGAGCTCATTTATTGATATATTTCTTCCGTGCATATCTGATTTTGTACTACTTTTATTATTTGTATGTTTTGTATCATCACCTATTTGTTGTTTTTACTAGAGAGATAGTGACTGTGATGGTGAAACATGTCATAGCATGGTGTTTGGTGCTTGACAGGTTTGACAATCCGGGTTTCACCTTGGAGTGCAGCCAGCAAAAGATAATAATTACAATAAATAATAATTTTTTATGAACAGTAAACAAAACAATTCGTGAACAACCTTTTTTTTAACAGAAACTAATAAATAACAAAGGAATATTATTAGTAACTATTTGAATGAATATTAAATGAACAGAAACAAAAGGATGTTTTTTGGATGAACAGTAATGAACAGTATCTAAAGCTTTTTTATTATTATTTATTTATTTTAAATGAAAAAATTAAAGCAACTTAACTGTAATAAATTAGCAAGGAAATAAAAAAAAGAAATTTCGGGCGAAAGTAAACCCGATGAACAGTATTTTTTAAAATTTGATTTTAATTAACACAGAAACAACAAAGAAATATGTGCTAATTAAAAGCAATAAATTTCAGATTTAGTTTAACAGCAAAAATATCAATCTTCTATATTGCTGTCAAAAGAGATAAAATTTAGTATAAAACCTGAAATAAAAAGTTAGAAAATCAGGCCTAAATGGGAACAGTCGTGATTTCACTGCCCTAGAAGATTAAGAACCCGTCAATCGCCCTAGCGCAGTCGATCATCTCTCCCCTAACGGTAAAAACCCCCGGTTCAACCGGCCTTTGTACTCGGACGAGAGCAACAGAGCTTAAGCTCAGATGAAGAAAATTGCCCCAAAGAAAATAACATAATAGTCAAAACTATAAAAAGAAGAAGCTAGGAGAGAAGTTCTTTCTGTTTTCTGTATAAAACGAGGAGAAGAATGCATGTATTTATAGGACTCTGAAGCCAGAGATCCGTTGCTCCAAACCCGCACACGTTACGCCGGATCCGCATAACTCCTCGCGCCATCTCCGCATTCGTTACGAACGGGTCAAGCGGAAGAAAACAAAAAAAAATAAAAATTCTGAGAAACAAAAATGTGTGCGGCGTGGCGCACGCGTGTGATAGCAACAACCCAAACAATACAAGGCCCAAAACACTTACTCAAAGCCCAATATGATGTAAAGCATTATAAGCCTCTCACTATTCATCTCATCTTCCAATGTGGGACTATTCACAAAGTCAAAATTGCCTTTTCATGAACAAATATCCAACATAAACGAGAACAGTTTATGCAGCTAACCCCAAGGAAATGTGATAAGGGGGTGTTTGTTTTGCATCCCAAAATTTATGGATATGGATTTCACCATAGAATTTGAAATCCATAAATTTTTTTACATGTTTTGGGATCTCTAAAATTTTGTTTGTTTCATCAATATTTTGGGATTTGGAATACCAAAATTTGTAATATTTTGTTTGTTTCATCAATATTTTGGGATTTGGAATACCAAAATTTGTAATATTTTGTTTGTTTCATCAATATTTTGGGATTTGAAATACTATAAATTATATATTATAATATTATATAATATTTTAATAACATATATTATTATAATATTATATAATATTTTGGGATTTGGAATACTACAGCATGAACAGTGATTATTGGGTCCTTCTATATATATTATATATTATATATATAATATTATATATATATTATATATTATATTATAGATATAATTTAATATAATATATAATATAATATATAAAATATATTATATATTATCTAATATATATAATATATATTATAATAATATATATATAATATCATATAATATATATATATATATATATATATATATATATATATTTATTATATTATTTAATAAATAATATATATAATATATATGTAATATATATATAAACTATTATATATATATATATATATATATATATATATATATATATAAATCTATATATATATATATATATATATATATAATATATAATATATAATATATATATATTATGTTATAAATATATTACATAATCTTATATATTATTTATATATATATTAATAAATATATATATATATTATTATATATATAATATTATACATTATATATAAATATCTATATTATAGTATTCATTTATTATATAATCTATATAATAAATAATATGATATATTATATACTTAATATATATATTATATATATCATAATTTAATATTATATATAACATATTTATTTATATATTATAAATCATATATATAATATGTAATATAATATAACATCATAATATATATATATATAATATATATATATATTATATAATATATATATATAATATTATATATAATATATATACATATATAATATTATATGTAATATATATAATGCTACAGTGATTTACTACAGATTTTACTACAGCATGAACAATGATAATTTACTGTAGCATTTACTAAAGCATGAACAGTGATTCTTGGGTCCTCCTATAATTATAGAGGAATAGATGTATTAATCATATATTAATCTTATATTATAAGCATTAATACATCAATATCCAACCTACATCCTCTCTCAATTGTAGGATTTCACAAATTCTAAAATATAATAGTTTTTTATTATTTGGGGATTCAATATCCCAAAATTGGTTTTGAAACAAACATTGTTTATGGAATTCTGAAACCCAAAAAACTTGTAATCCACCTTATATCCCAAAAAAAGGTTAAAACAAAAGAGAGGATTTCACAAATCCTAAAAATATATTATTTGTTTATAATTTAGGGATTCAATATCCCAAAATTAATTTTGAAACAAACAAAGTTTATGGAATCTCAAAACTCAAAAAGAGCACTTTTTACATCCCAAAACTTGAAATCCACCTTATAACCAAAAAAAAAAAAAAAACACCCCCTAAATGTATTCTGCTTGCATCATGAGATTAATTACATTATCCAACAGTGCTAACAATAAAACAATTAAAAGGCCGGGGAAAAGAGAAATATACCGAGATCGAGCAAATTCGATAAAGAGGAACCCGAAGATTTGGCACTGCAGATTTTTGCTAAAGAGGCATCGCTGAATTCCATGGTTGAAACATCATCCACCACCAGCAACGATCGGCTGTCGCAAATTCCCAAAACTCGTAAAACGAAACCCTAATAAAATGATGATGATAAGTGAAACTGCATTTTTGGGTGCTTAAAACCCTAAATGGGGGGTTTTAGAAGACCAGGGGAAAAAAATTAATGATTGATTGCCTGCTTGGAGTGAAGGGATCTGCAATTGATAATGTGATCGAGGAGTTGGCGGCCGACGCCTCCGCAGCCCATCAACAGTAGAGGAATGATTTTCCTCATTTTTTTATTTCCTTCCTGTTTCTACTGGGCTTTGCTTTTCTCCGTCTTCTCTCCTAATTTCTCACTGGACGCTGCTCCGTAGGACTAATAAGGAGCTTCTCGGTAAATTTCGCAGGGGTGCTTTGCGGGAGCTGGTGGTATGCCAATGCAGCTTTTGGTTGGGACAAGATGGTCGCATAATTATTTTAATCAAATAATTTTATCTTTTTGGAAATTTTGAGCTAAGTAAGATGAGACAATTTAGGATAAAGAGAAAATTTGAATTTTTGATTTGAACATTTATGTAGGATAATTAATAATGTGGCACATTATTAAAGTATAACATTTATGTAGGATAATTAAATATTTTATTTAATTCAATATAATATTATTTAAAATAATCTATTATTATTAAAAATATTTTATTTTATTTTATGATAATTACTATAATTTAAATAAAATAATTGATAACATGGCTCCTTATTAAAATATATATTTATAATAAACGTAATATACTATTAATATGTGCAATATTATTAATTAAAAATTATTGTTAAATAATACATCATATTATATTAATTATATATATATATTATCATACTTTAATATATAGTAGATTATTATAATTTTTATTGTAGTAATAAAATATTATTTAATATTATAACTACCACAATATTGACAATATATTTAAGACTATTAATTAATATAATAAAGTATAATAGAAAATAATAAATTATATTTTAATATAATTAATAATAATTTTATATTAGATAATATTATATAATATTTTATTATCTTACATCATAAGAGAATTTTATAATATAATATAATTAAGATATATTATATTTTATAATACAATTAACACATATTAGATATTTAATAAATTAGTGTTTCAAAATTATCTCACTTTCCTTATGATTGGATAGAATTGGGACAAAAAATTAGTATAGAAGTGGGATAATTTTGGAAAAAGTTAGGGTAATTGTCTCAATCCAATTGTCCTAATGAATAACACCTTAAGGTGAAATCTCAATCTCATTGTCCCAATGAATAACACCATAAAGTAAAGTCCAAAAAATTATCTCACTTACTCCAAAATTACACCAACCAATAACCCCCCTAGAGTAAATATGATATTAGAGGTGGCCCCGAAAATTGAATGCATCTTAGCTGATCGGATTATTTTTGCTAAATCATGTCGCATTATTAAATTTAGTGTTAATGAATGGGACATCATTGAGAGATTCTCATATAGAGGAAGTCATTCTTACAAAGTCAACATGCTTGTGGACCATACTTATATATGCACTTGCAACATTCCGCAATTACAATGGCTTCTTTGTGCTCATGTTGTAGAAGCTAGTTCAGATCTAAAGGACTACAAGGTAGAGTTGGGCACTAGTCAGGTCGACCCACGAACTGATCTAGCCCAGCTCTCCATGGGTCACGACCCGGCCCAGCTCGTAGTGAGTCGGGTCCAACCCGGCCCGTGATATATACAAGTCACGGGCCGGCCTGGGTCCAGCTCTAGACCCGAGACGAGAGAAATAAGTCTGGCCCATTTTGACCCAGCCCACCATCGACCTGGCCCGGCTTGACCTGTTCCAACCTGGATTTTTAATTTTTAATTTTTTTGGTGAAATAAAAATGGTCAGGTTATAAGCTTGCTGGCCGCAGGA